AGGTCACTCAAAACCGTTCAATCCAGGAAAGTGGAGCAATGCTGGCACTTCTTTTCAACGGTTACCCACGGTGTTTTAAAAATCGGCGAGCGCGGTTCGCCTCGTGTGCGGGTTCCATCATAAAATCGGGAACCATTCGGTTCTAGAATAGAACCACCGGTTCCCAGCCGGTTAAATCGGTTCACGCACGTGCTCTCGTTCGTCTGCACATACGAGGTTGCCCTAATATTTTTGCATTTTTTCACATCTAAAAGAAAATCGACAATTCTCGACCGAATCACTGTATAGAATCGGATGGCAGCACCACATTCACATGCAATCACGTGTCACCCCATGTATCGTTCGCTCGCACGCTATTGAAGAGCTCATCCTCACATCTTTTATAAACTTGGAAGTCGCTTGATCTTTTCGATGTGGGACAATTCCCACTGATGTGGGACAATTCCCACTTGCCTTCAACAGCGTGCAAGCCATCGTCACACAAGCCATTACCTAATAAACGGCCATATAATTTTTCCAAGCCATTAACTATTGCAAGCCATTGTCCATATGTGTAGCGTTTTAATTTAGCGTGTCAAATTAATAGCACTAATAAACGGCTATATAAAATTAAAAAATAAATTAATAGCACTCATTAATTTAGTGTGTCAAATTAAAAAATAGCCATATAATTTTTTTTGATGTTTATTAGTAAAATAGATTTTTCGATGGGTTTTATTACAATATTTTATTTTTATTTTTATGTTTTTGTAGCTATTGTGCATATTGCCGATAGGATTTTTTTTTGAATTTTGGCATCTTTATTTTTCGTTTTTTTGGGTAAATTTATTTTGAATTTTTTAATATAATTACATTAGAATTTATTGGTGGTTTTATTTTTAATTTTAGTCATATGATATGGAAGCCTCTTCTAATAAATTTTTAATCACTTTTCAATTAGATAATATTCTAAAATATTTTTAATTTGTTATTATTTGTCTAATAAAATAATTATAAAATGTAAACTAATAATTATAATTTCAGTATATAATATTATAATTAGTTAGGTTGTAATAATTTTGGATTATAGTTAGTTAGGTTGTAATATTTTGGGTTTTTTTAGCGGATTAGGGTTTTTCGCCAAAACGAGATTTTAATGGCCATTCTTTCATTGATTAGTCTAAACTTTATAATAGTCCATGTATAATTATATATTTTATCCATGATAATTCTATGATTTTTTTTTTATGTGATGCAAATTTAATATTTAAGTTTATACAGGGAAATAGCATCTCAATATATACAAATTGATGAGAAAAATGAAAGGTGATAATGTAGTACCCTCATTTTTTATTGGATTCCTAAAAAACAACATTTATAATGACTTTTAATCATTTTTTTGGATTTTTTTGAAGCTTTAATCCGATCGATTCAGCCCATTCCCGATCCGAATTGCTGATTCGCCAATCCGGATCGGTTTTTGAGGTGCTCGATTCGGGTCACCTATCCGCTTTTTAAACCATTGGTACCCATATCTGCTTTTGAGCGGGGAATTTGCAACTTACTTCGTTATACACGGGCAAATTCCGCTTTGACATTATATTATATTATATGGAATTGTCTTCAAAGAGTACATAGAGTTCATAATTATTTTTGGCTAAAATAAAATAAGTAAAGTATATAACGAGACCATTTACCTTTGCTGGTCACAATTGGATATAAAATTTATTTCATTGACCAAGCTCAAAATTCAATTTTTTTTTTTTTCCAACACCCAAGCTATCAGATTTGACATCAAATGGTTGTAAGTAATTGTAACCTTCCTATACAAAAGATAAATGGTCTAAATGTATATAATGCCAATAAAATAATCAAAACACCGTTAACACTTTTAGAGGCGTTTTGGTTATTTTATTTTATAAAAAATATTTTCAAATATTTTTTTAGGTTAACCCATTGGGATGATGGTACGTGCCAAATTTTATATTCATATAATTTGTATAAAAAATAAAATAAAAATAAAATATTTTGAAGCGTCGAATCGAGATAGAACAGTCTGTAGCTCATTTGATCAACATTAGACAGTTGGATGGGGGAGTGTTTATCTTCCATATAACAGGAGAAGTATAGAAATGTTTCCCAAGACATAAATCCCCTCTCTAAGATTATAATATGAAATAACGTCCTGAGTCCTATAAATATCCTATAGAATCCTCCAAATTAAACAAAAAAATAATATTTAATTTATCTTTATTTTTTTTCATTGTCAAACTATAAAATATACCTTTCGTTTTTTTTATCAACTTCATTATGAATATCCAGTTTGTAAAGCTATTTTTAATTTACTTGTAAGGTTCAGGAGATGAGAGAGAGAAGTATTTTGGAGAAGTTAATAGAGAGAGGGGAGGAATATGTTCATGAGTGAGGAAATAAGCGATAGAGGGTAAATTTTTTTCCAAGATTTAGATAATAAGGTGATTAAGAAAAAATGAAAGGTAAATTTTAAAAAAGCTAAGGTGGGTATTAAATGTCTTTCTTTATTTAACTTGGGGTCCCGTGAAGTATTTATAGGAATTAGGGTTAGTCTATTTCCTTATATTATTTAGATAAATTGTACTAGTGCGTTGCACGCTTTTAATTCATCTGAGTTTTTTAAAGGAAAAAGTTTATATAGAGCTGAGGCTTGAAACAATCAAAATTAGAGCCTACATCAAAACTTTTGCTAGATGATATTATTTTGAGGCTCAAATATCCTTAAATTGATCATTTTGACATCAAGATATATGGACATGAGAAAAAATGGATTTCAGGTTTTGGAAGTAGTGTATTTTGTAACGGAATTTTGGATCGTCAATTTTCAATATTTTCAAGTTTTCATAGATCTATCGATCTATACTATTTTTGAAGCTTTAAACTTTATAAATTAAGATGAAAATATATTTTAAGGCTATTACAAAGATTTCCTATTGGAATCACATTTCTCGACACTATTTGAAGATAGACTCGAATTTGATTGTTTAGAGCCTAGGCTCTATACAAACCGCACTCTTTTTTAAAAAGTTGAAAAGATGTATTTATTTATGGGTATGGTTTATATAAGGCAGGCTCTAAACAATCAAAGTAAGACAAACTTTTAAATAGTGTCATATGTTGATTAAAATTTATTTTTATTTTTAATTATAAAATTTAAAAATTATGATCCCACTGTCTTCCGATAACTTGTATAAATCTTTTCTGTTTTGGACCATTCTATTCTCTTGGTACATGGGCATTAAATCAAGGCTGATAATGGGTTGGACTGCTATGCCATGCTTGGTCCTAAATTTGGGTCAGAAGTTATATGTGGCCTACAAGGCCTCGACCTAGGCCCAAATAGTTGAGAATAAAGTAAAGCCTCGCTTCAAATCCTTATCCGAAAAGCACTTTCGACAATAGAAATCTTTATGATGGATTTAAAATCAATTTCCCATGCCAACAATAAAATTTGAAATTTAAACAACGATACAGATTTTATGGATATATGAACCCTTATTTTTAAGGTAAAATGGACGATCTAGATAATTCATTATAATATGACCTATTTTTAGTGTTTAAAATCCAAACTTTTTTTTTTTTAACAACCATAATGTTCAAGTTAAGACAAGATGTAAAGCTTTTTCAATGCGTGAATTGTAATTTTCGATGAGTTATGAGGTGAAGCTTTACTTATTTTATTAGAGTTGCAGCCCTATCAAACCATTTTTCTTTAAATCAAAGCTTCATTATAAGTATCATTGCCTTGATTTCAATTTAATAAATTTTTTTTTCAAACTTCATCACACGCCCTACGCCATTAACAACTAACGATTAGGACTGACTGCGGCCCCCTTGTTAAAAAAATGATCTCATAGTGTACAATCCCCTCTTTAAATGGGTGGACCTTTTGTAGAGCAAAAAGTTTATATAGAGCCGAGGCTCTGAACAATCAAATTCGAGCTTACCTCAAAAATTTCACTGGAAGAGATTGTTTTGATGAACAAATATCTTCAAATTCATCATTTCGACATCAAGATGAATGGACATGAGAAAAAAATGAATTTCAAGTTTTGAAAATAGTGTATTTTGTAACACACTTTTGGACAGTCAATTTTCAAGATTTTCATAGATCTCTTGATCTACACTATATTTAAAGTTTTAAACTTTATAAGTAAAGATGAAAAAATATTTTAAGGCTATCAAAAAGATTTCCAGTTTTGAAACCATATTTCTCGATACTATTTGAAGGTAGGCTCTAATTTGATTGTTTAGAGCTTAGGCTCTATACAAACCGCACCCTTTGTAAATAGGTTGAAAAATGTATACTGCACTTAAATATACTAATTAATTAGTTAGAACCCGAAGGATTTGCATGCATTGGATCCTGAGTTGTCAGTATTTTCCAACTAACCGACTTCTTAATTTTCAAATTGTTCCACTGTTATATAATACTTTTGGGAAATGATTAGGATGTGGTTTCTACAAGGTTACAACTTTAAACAATCAAATTAAGGCACACCCCGAAATTTATAATAATAAATAATTTTGCTGTATAAAAATATTAGGATTATATCAAAATCTAGTTTCATATCTAATAATAAAATTTTAAACTCTAAAAATGGTTAAAATTAAGTAGATCTATAAACATATGAAAATTTTGAAAATGGATAGTCTAGATAATATGTTACATGATGCACTATTTTTGAGATTCAAATTTTTGTTTTAAAATTTATATATCTCGATGTCGGGGATGATCAATTAGAGGGTTTTTCAACATTAAAACATATATTTTTTAATAAATTTTTGAAGTGCATGTGTAATTCTACATTTTAAAGTTACAACCTTACCTAAATTTTTTCATAGTTATATAATGCAACCATATTGTATGACCATAAATGTTGGTCAGTTGACTTATAAGCATCAATTAAAGAAATAGAAAAAGACCACGCTTCTTTATCCCAATGCTTCCATTCTTAAATAGGCGACATCCAATTCTGAGAGGGGTTTGAATTATTTATTTGTTTTTATGCTTATTGATGTGGACGGAAAGGATTCCTCCAAGTAAGAAGGAGATGCTTTTGCATCTGGTGCTGCTCTTCTAACTTCCCTTCCTGGAATTCACGAAGCTCTTGCCCTTGGTTCCAACGGTCCTGATTAACTGTCTGTACTGGTTGAAACTCATCTCCTCGTACAATGCTTTACCTCTTCCTGCTGCGACCGCCTCCTCAACTGGCCCAATCTTCATCTCTCCGTCCGGGTTACAGAATACGACCAGAGACATCCTCTCCCTCTCCTTGTTCACTGTTGCCCTGTGCTCCGCACTCGTGTATATCCCATTTGACAGCACCTTTTCAGGTGTGATTGTATGCAATTTGATCATTCACTTTTGATATAAGGTGATCGCAATAACTTATAACTATTTTAAATTCGAAAAAAGTTCTTATATAAGGTGATCGCAATAACTTATAACTATTTCAAATTCGAAAAAATTTCTTTTAAACTTTGAGCTTGATCAATAAAATAAATGCAGTCACCCAAATTCACATTCTGGTCAAAATTAATTGTCACGGTAAATTGTCTCATTATATACTTTTCCTTTGTGGGATTGTATATAACAAACGATTTACCTTAGAGAGGAGGAGGTGACAATTACCTATAACCATATGATATGAACATGGAAATGAGTTCACACACCCACAAGATGCGGAGGTGGCAGTGGTGGTACAGTTACCTCTAGCTGATCAGCCAAGATGATGATAAGGGCTTTTGGAATGGGAGGAACTGAAACCCAAACAACATCCTTCTTCACCTGCAACCCGCACAGATTGTCATCTTGAATAATCACTGTGAAGCCTCCGGGATCGGTATGGGGGGACAGCCCGAGGGTGAGCTCTGGTTGTGGGCACTTTGGGTAATAATTCATTCTGCAACTCAGCCCAATCTGCTCCTCTCCACCAAACCTTTCAACTAGGCATCCTTTGGGAAGTCCCAAGTCCTCAGAGAATATGCCTAGCAGCTCCTTGCACAGCTCAAACACCCGGCTGCAGTATTCATCGATGTTCCTCCTGTACAGAAATGAAATCTACAATGAATTCAACAAAACAGAGACAACGTCGCAGAGGGCACACAGAGAGTACATAGAAAGCGAGCGATAAACGGGTTAAGTCTTTGTGTTTTTTTTTTTATTTTTGGTAATTTAGTGAGGAAGATAGACCCTGTCCCTTTGTTTTTATTTTATATAGATTAAAGAGTTAGCTTTTTTAAAAGGTATCAGTGGGCGGTGCCAGGAAAACCAGTATAGGGGTGCTACCACCACTACCCAGACCCTTTCCTAAGTTCTAGTTAGATTGGAAGAAGGGTTTGTTTATGACCTAAAGTGCGGCAGGTTGGCAGGCCATTTATGTTGTTTCTGGTGAGAGAGAGGACGGACATGGTGGAAGAAGTAGTCACCCCAATCCAAAAGAATGCCCTTCTGCACGCCCACCCTGCTACCGTAACCTTCATAAGTGAGGGGATCGTTGGCATAGAGCTGCTTCTCGGACATGGGGAGGTCAAAGAATCCTCTGGAGGCATTCATGGCGGAGGAGAGAACCGTGTCGGGGATGCCATGGTTTACGAGCTGGAACACACCCCACTCCCTGCAAGCGGACTGCATCACCTTCATGCTGTTGCCTGCTGATAAATCCACCACTGGGACACCTGTAGGAGAGAGAGAGAGTGAGGAGCTTCTATCTTGGGGAGGCCTTATGTACCTCTGTGGCAAATGCTGAATCCCACTCTCCGCAAGCTTCTGCACTCTCTCCACAGGCTCCGGCCATTCCACCCCCACACCCATACTGTTATTGCAAACCACTACCATTCTCTCAAAACACAAACCTCCGCTCTTTGTTGAGTGAATGGATGAAGAAACTGATGAAAGAAAATGCAGGGCTCTCCCTTTAAATAGAAGGTGCATCTTTATCGTCTACATAATTAACCCCTTTCTCTCAATAGAAGATGCATCTTTAGCATCGACATAATTAAAATCACTCGAAAATAGTGATTTACGTGGGAACCTTAAATTTTTTTCAAAAATAGGAAATGTTAGGTGGAAATACAATTTTTTTTAAAAAAATTACCCCTTGGTCTAAGTACGATCGAATTTTAATTTTACTTCTCTTTTTGCGTTGACAGACTTTTTTTTATAAATTCTACCTATAAAACATAAATAAGAGAAGGGTGCGGTTTCTATAAGGTTGAAACCTTAAAAAATCCAATTAAAGCGCACCTTCAAATTTTATTGTAATTTTTAGTGTAAAAAATTCTCAGGATTATCTGAAAATCTATTTTTATATCTAATTCTAAAATTTTAAACTTCAAAAATAGTTAAAAATAAAATAGATCTATAAACGAAAAATCTTGAAAATGGACCGTCAAGATAATGTGATGCAAGATGCACTATTTTTTATAAATTTTAAGGCTATTATAAATATTTTTGATACTAAAATAACATTTTCCAATACTACTTAAAGGTATGCCTTACTTTGTTTGTCTTATTTTGAGGTCACCTTTTGTTACGTTGTTCGTGGTTTTAACTCTGCAGCGGACCGCTTGGCCAATGATGCTATGTCTTGCCTAACCTTGTTGTCTTTCCTCTCAAGTTCAGTCTACGTCCCTCTCCTCTTCTTTTTGTCTCTTTTTATATTTGTTTTTTCTTTTTCCTTGTATTCATTTCATTGTCTTAATGAAGCTCGCACTTTCTCAAAAAAAAAAAAATCAGCCTTATACAAACTACACCATAAATAAATACATCTTTTCTACCTTTTGAAAAAAACACATTTGTTAAAAATCGTACAACACCGTAGCATGCTTTACCTAAATAATAATAGGAAAAAAGACTAACCCCCTCTCTAATATTATAATTTCAAATAACCTTTATTCCTATAAGTATCCCATGGAACCAAGTTAAATAAAAAAAAGAGACAATTTTACCTTCTCCTTACCTGTTCAAATTACGTAATTTATACTTCTCCTCTTCCTCCCCTCTCTTTAGTAACTTTACTTGAATACTTCTCTCTCTCTCTCGTCTCGTGAACCTCACAAGTAAATTAAAATTGGCATCACAAACTCGACATTTATGATGAAGTTGCTTGATGTTTATGACTATGTTTTTAGAAAAAAAATTGATAAATTTTATAATTTTAACAATGAAAAAAAAATAAAGAGGGGTTTAAATATCTTTTTTGTTATTTAACTTACAGGTTTTATAACATATTTATAGGACTCAAGCTCTTATTTGAGATTATAAGTTTGGGTGCGGTTTGTATAGAGCCTAGGATCTAAACAATCAAATTAGAGCCTACCTTTAAATAGTATCGAGAAATTTGGTTTCAATTTTACAAACTTATGTTCATGCATCTTGATGTCAAGATGATCAATTTGAAGATAGTTGGGCATCAAAACGACCTCTTCTAGTGAAATTTTTGGGGTAGGCTCAAATTTGATTGTTTAGAGCAGTGGTTTAAAAAATGGTTTGGTAACCCGGATCGAGCAATCCAAAAACCCATCCGGATTGGTGAATCGAAGATCCGAATTGGGAATCAGCCGACTCAGTCGGATTAAGCTTGAAAAGAAATCCAAAACAATTACTAAATTTCATTATAAATATTGCCTTTTAGGAATCCAATAAGAAATGAGGGTACTACTTTATTACCTTTCATTTATTTCATCAATTTGTGAATATTATGTTAACCATTAAATTTACATCACACAAAAAAAAAATCATAGAATTATTATGGACAAAGTATATAATCATACATGGACTACAATAAAGAGTAAATTAAATCGATAAAAAAGTACCCACTAAATCTTGAATTTGTGGAAAATCCTAATCCGCTAAAAAAACCCAAATTATTACAACCTAACTAACTATAATCCAAAATTATTACAACCTAACTAACTATAATATTATATACTGAAATTAAAATTGTTGGTTTACATTTTATAATACAAATAATAACAAATCCAAAATATTTTATAATATCTTCAAATTTAAAATATATTATTGACAACGGTAAGAAAAATAGTACATTACATGATTTATAATGTAAAAATTAATAAATAAAATAAAATATTTGGTTATCAATATAGAAATTATTAGAATGAGAATCAATTTTCGAAATAACACTTTAATTTTTCAAAATTTTAAATTTTTAGATTTCTAGAATAAATTTAGTAAAAGAGATTGTTACTAGCAAGAGAGAGATTTCCAATGGAATAAACCAGTAGTTTAAAAAACGGATCGTGCCCTAGGGTGTATTATTACAACCTAACTAACTATAATATTATATGATTTATTCCTAGGGTGTATTAAGAAATACTTGTTGTATTTATAAAGATCTTTTATTTTTTTTTGACAATAAATATTTGTTGTATTATTATTATTTTTTTGTTAAGAAAAATATGATATTTGTTGTATTACTTTTTATTTTATTTTTTGATAAAAAAATTAAGAAGATGTTGTACTACATTTTTTTTTTATTGTTGTATTATCTTTTATTTAATTTTTGACAAGAAATACATTATATTACTTTTTTTATATGAGAAAAATAAAAAGATGCGTTATTATTGTTTTACCAAAAATGCTTGTTGTATTACTTTCTATTTTTTATTATTTTCTTTTTATTTTTTTTACAACATGTTTTTTTCTTCTATATTTTTTGTTTCCTTGTATTTTTTTTACAACATGATTTTTTTTATTTTAAGTTTTTAAAAAATAAAAATAAAGCCCCAAAGGGTATTTTTGTCCTTTTCTTTTTTTTACAACAAGAGTTTTTTCTTTTACGGTTTTAAAAAAAAAAAAATTTTTTATAACATGATTATTTTCTTTATGTTTTAAAAATAAAATAAAGCCCCAAAAGGTATTTTTCCTTTATTTTTTTACAACATGATTTTTTTCTTTTATGTTTTTAAAAGAAAAATAAAAATAAAGCTCCAAAACGGCAATTGCACAAGAGAAAGAGAAATCAAGGGTGAAAAGTGCAGAAATCAAGGTTGAAAAGTGCAGGCCAAAATGCATAGAGCTATCCTTTCTCCACCAATTCATCACATTCTATTTACAAGGCTGTAACATGCTATTAGTTATGCAATTCTAATTTTGTCCCGCGGATGACGAGAGCCCTAAAATGCTCTATAAATAAAAACACAATACACAAATAAGGTGCATGCGGAGGTACAGGGCCTTAATGTGTTTCCTAACTCGTGAGATGGGCCTACCACGTGTCCGCACGAGTCTACTATTGAAAATCGCGCGCTCATTTTTAAACCACTGGTTTGGTTCAGAGGAATTTGAAGATAGTTGAGCATCAAAAATGTCTTTTTCTCAATAATATATTAGTAAATTTCCCTGTGAATAATATTGTTCAGTAGTTAAAAGCGGAATCTGGCCCTGGCATAAAGTAAGTGTGGTCCAGATTCCCCGCTCAAAAGCAGATATGGGCACGGTTGAAAAGTAAGTGGCAGCATTGCTCCACTTTCTTCGATTGAGCAGCTTGAGTGACTTCAGTCTCCTAACCCTAACCCTAACCCTAACCCTAACCCAACCCCAACCCCAACCCCAACCCCAACCCCAACTGTACAAAAATCCGCCGAGAGATCGAGAGGCAATTACAGGAATTGATGGAGGTAAAGAGCAAAATGGGGAGAGTATACCTGAACTTGTGCTCGGTTCTGTGAAACATGGTAAATCAGTATGAGTTCGGTTCTGTGAAACATGGTAAAATCTCAGTATGAGTTCCCTCACAACCTACAAGACATAGAGATAGAACCAGAAATCAAATATGTCTTTCTCAATTTTTGCCATCAAGACATAGGAAAGAGCTTCACAGCACATCTCAACCAGATCTAGGTGATTCAGGTATCTCTACCTTGTATTTACCCACACAATATGATGATGAAACCCAGAGGAGAGAGCATATTCCCTGTGATGTACAGAGATCCATTGAAGAATGTGAGTTCTTCATCACTGTCTTTTCATCCAACCATGCTTCTTCTTTCTTCTGCCTTGACCTGATTTCTTATGGACTGAGTTTGCAACTGACGACTATGATAAGGTCTGTTTTTCCTGTTTTTTGTATTATGGAGCCTTCACATGTCTGTTGGAAAAATGGGCCTTGGTTTGAGGAGAAGAAAACACGAGGTGTGGAGAAATGCTTTCAAAGAAGTTGCCCATCTTTCTGGTTGGGATATGAAAAATTACAGGTAGAGTCAAATTTCTCAGATTAAAAAAACAAAGAAAGAAAAACTTCATGAGTATGAAATATTTCTTAGTCTGTAAGTTAGTTATTTGTTTTTTATTTTTAAAAAGAGTATGAAATATTTCTTGGTGCTTGAATGTATCCATTTTCTTAGGCAGACCGATGTGTTTGCCATCATGGTTGAAGAAAAACTTCATGAGTATGAAATATTTTCTTAGTACTTAAATCTGTTTAATACCTGGCAATTTCGATCCGAATTGCCGATCCAAATGGGAATTGGTGGGACCAAACTGGTTATATAGTAGTAAGTGTCCTGACCAGGTTCTCCCTTAAAACTCCTTAAAATATATTTTTTTAAAATTTTATTTAATATTTTTTTAGGTCTTTTTAAATCATCGTCCTATAAATCCTTATTTTAATTTTTTTTACTTTATTTTATTTTTCCTAATTATTTTTAAATATTTCTTGGATCATCGATTTGGACCGATCTGATCCAACGGTCAGACATGTATTAGTGGGTGAACAATCTGTCACAGCGATTCGGGTTGGGTTTTTAAACGATGGCTTAAATATATCCATCTTCTTAGCTAGACCATTGTGTTTGGCATCATGGTTACCAATATATGTGTTGCTTCACTTTTATTTACTTGATTGCTTAGAAAAATAGATGTTTCATGTTTTCTTAATTTGCCTAATCAGGAAGGATTTTCTACAGGAGTGAAGTTTATTTGGTTGATGCTAAGCATGTTTCAGGGAAGTTGAATTTGCAACACTATGGCATGTCACTGATCACCCTACTGGGCTTGAGTCTCAGGTTAATGATAAGATGAGACTCTTCAATATTAATATTTGGTTACCAATAATGATATTTGGATGAATAGAAACCATGGCATGGGCAGCATCAGAAGTTAAATTGTGAGGCAGTCTTCAGCCAAATTTATTGAAGGTTCCAACACGTGAGGACTTATCACCTTACAGAAACAATTTCTAAAAGATCCAATGTTTATGAATAGAATTGGTTGTAAGAAACAACTTTCATCCAATATAAACAATTTTATTAGGGGATAAAATTGAAATTTTGGAGAAAATTTTTTTCTTTTTTGGGAACTGGGAAAGATGAGTGCTCGCCCCAAAAATTTGAAAAACAACATACATATGTGATATGTCAAAACCCAAATCATATAGGAGAAAACCAAATCATACAGGAGAAAACCAAAACCTTCATTTACTTTATTCACATGTCACACAAATGGTTACCGAATTTGTCTTTATGCTTACACTTCATAGTGAGGTTTGTATAAGGAGCGCACCCTATATTATATAAGTAAGGCCTATTTCTAAATTTTCCCGGATGATATAATTTGATGTTGGAAACTTTATTATGGCTTGAAAATATATGTTCTTTAATTATAAAATATAAATAATAATAATAATAAATTGAGCAATCTAAAAACACTTAAAAATCTTGAAAATAGACAGTTAAAATAACTTGTTACAAGAAGGATTATTTTTGGGACTTCAAAAAAAAAAAAATTTCTTTATATCGTATATCTTGAGGTCGAGATGATCAATTAAACAGCTTTGCAATGTCCGAACACTCTTTTCTACTTGACTTTTGAGATGCACATTACTTCTATAGTATAAAATTGCAATTTTATACGAACATTTTCCGAACTTTCCAATATGAGGCCTAGTATGGCAAGCTCCACCCACATAATTCTTTGATGTACTGTCTCAAAAAAAAAAAAATTGACATAATGATGTTCGATCATTCACGAGAGATTCTATCCATCAAGCTTATATGTGTTGTGACAACCGTTGGATTAAATCTCGACGCTGATATCATCCCTTGATTCTATGCATTCCATCTTAATTTAGAGTGTTAAAAAATCATCCCCAATACTCATCAATAAAAATATCCAACTGAAAAGCATAAGAAACCAATTAGGACCACAGAAAGTACCAAAACAAACTTCCAACTTCTTTAAACTCATGAATTAGTAAACTAGGTAAGAGAGAGATAAAGGGGTCTCAGTCAGAGAAACTCAATATACATTGAATTATACATAATTCTATCTTTTTTTCAAACACTAAGCAAAAAACCATATCAGCAGGCACTAATGGCCCCTTTACATAAAGAAACCATCTAAAGCAAGAAAAAACAAAAAATAAAGAAAGAAAGAACTTCACAAAGTACTAGTGGCCCTTTCGTATTAGCTTATACTTATGATACCATTTTGGCAACTCAAATTCTACTGTATTTGAGTTGCTCTCCCTGTTTCGTTTGGGTCAGGCACAACTGCCATCTAGGCTTCTCCTCCTGAGCCGGGTTGAGGATAAGCTGTGCAGTACTTGCCCACTCCTTTGATCGAAAACTCTCCCAAACTGGATTCGAATCTTCCATCTTATCGAGCCTTCCGTCCACCTCCATTTGCTCATAGGCTTCATCCCACCCAACTGCCTCGCTCCATAGTCTCCCCATCCCCCCTCTTCTCCTCTTCCACATGCAGCAACCTGGCCCCATCTTGTCCCCACTTGAGTCTTCATCTTCTTGAGGACTTCTCTCTGGTCGTATAACATCAACTTCCTTAACACTCCTAACTGAGTCCCAATCCCTCGAGGTGTAAGCATCGTGTAGAAGTTGTGTCACATAACCGATGTCCCTCGACTGTATCATGACATATGAAAACAGACAAATGAGAGTTACAACATTAAATACCCTAAAAAATAAGACAATATGAGAGTTTAAATATAAAATACATTTTCAAATGAAGTGAACATTGTACTATTTTATCCTCATCATGATACCCTCAGGACGTGAAGCTTCAGGGATGAGGTCTAAAATGGTTATGGATTAGGGGCCTAGTCCGTAGCGTATACTAATAAGGATATTCCCTTGTTGGCTTCCCATTGAGCATGTATATCTGTAATCCAACCTATTTGCCACTTCTTCACCTGAGCTCAAAGCTCGTCCACCCAGTTCTCATATCTCTTCCCCTTGGTCTCCCTCCTCTCCCATTGCAAGGGATCTTCTAGTATCCTTTGGTGGAGCTCAAACTGCTAGAGCATACAATTTGGCATGTACCCCTCACATATGTGTCCATAGATGAAGAACTTGCAATGTAAGGTTGTCTCGCAAACCTCAATGGTGTATACTCTATCTTCCTGACTTTCCTCTCCTAACTCAGGGAAATATGATAGGTAACCTATCATAAAAAAAAGGGAAAACTAAATGTAAATAACTTGCACCAAAAAATTATTGAGATTTAAATGAAACTAGGTTGGTGAACACTTTTTCTATGATGACATTATATATGTGTGCATTATCAATCACCTAGCGCCCCACATGATGGAAGTTGTGAGTGTTTTACTATTTTCTAAGAGGGGCCCAGGGCATTTGGCAGCCCTGCTTGGATATCTTTGGGCTTCAGGTGCAATAACTTGAAGTGTTTGTATGCCCCATACTACAATGCATTCATATTATTCAAATATAAGAATATAAGAACACTACACAAAAAAGAACTATCAAAACCTTCAAATATTTTGATGTAAATATCAGCAAAAGAGTAGCTGAGCCACTTGGGTGTGGGTGATCAGGATGAATAATCTTGGCTATAATTAGAACAAATAAGCTAGGACAAGTGCACCCATGTGTACCAACAAGCTGCCTCGTATCCTCAAACAACTTCAAATATAATGTAGACACCATTCTGTCTGTGAAATTGGCAAAGATTGTGGAGTCGACCACATATGGGAGGTACATATGGATGTGCCGTATCAAGGTGCCGGTTACAGTTGTGTGACAGTGACAAAACTTACTCCTCAACCATGTCATCCCAATAGCACAATAGTTGGTCAAAGGGGGTAGATCTCCTGGCATTGACTATATGTTTCAAAAACCTTTTGTCAAATTCCCTCAATCAGCGCCCTACTTTAAGCAACTTAGTTTTTCCAATCGTTATCCCCAGCAAAATTTTCTTCGTTAGATAGACCCTTATTTGCTGAGAATATTCGTAAAGCAAATCTTTGATCTCCCCAACGGTAAGGCCCATGGACCTTTTGGGTTCCATGTAGCAATCTTCTAAACGTTAGGGACACTATAGCCCCTAATCTCTTAACTCTCTTTGAAGAATTTTTCCATAGATGTAGGCTTAATGCGCTTTAAACTATACCTTTATAGCCTTGGTCCCCAAACTTAAAGGAGCCCATAGGATGCAGGATTTTTTCCCTATTAGTCTTCTTAATTCCTCGTATAAAATCCTTGTTAAGGTGTTAGCCTCTCGCCTTTAAGAGGTCCTCGGCTCTGTCTTATCCCCTTACCAATCTGCCTTTGTGGCCAATCGTCAAAGCTTTGATGGAGCTCTAATTGCTCATGAGGCCATCCATTCTACGTTGCTATCTGACCAGAAAGGCCTCATAGTTAAATTGGATTGGGAGAAAGCCTATGATCGAGTGGACTACGACCTCCTGGATTCTATCTAATCCTGTGTGGGCTTTGGCTCTTGTTGGAGGAGCTGGGTGAAAGTTTGTATCTCCAATCCTTCTTTCTTGATTCTCCTTAATGGATCCACGAAATGCTTTTTCACTGCTGCTATAGGACTCACGCAAGGGAATCCCCTACTACCCTTACTTTTTACCCTTAAGCCATATGATTTCGTACCTCTTTTATCCTGATGACACCCTAGTCTTCTATGAGGCCAATCCTGATCAAGTTGACCGTCTCTGACGGTTCCTAAGAACCTTTGAACTGCTTATTGGAAAAAAAGTTAATCTTGCTAAGACTAAAATGTTAGGAGTGGTAGTCGATAGTAATGATTTGGACAACCTCGTCAGCTGCTTACGTTGAACTCCTCCATCCTCTTACCATGGCCTTCCTCTATGTGTAGGAAATCCTAGAAAACACCTTTGGGATAAACTAAAACAGAAGTTCACCTGGAAGGGCCGGTACCTCTCCTTTGGGGGAAGAATCACCCTATCAATTCCACCTAGCCAGTATCTCAATCTACTATATGTTCCTTTACAAAATTCCTTGCTATGTTATCTATCTTCTTGAAAAAACGCATGTGTGACTTCCTTTGGTTAGGCACGAAAGATTCCAAGAAGTTCCACTTAGTTACTTGGGACAAAGTCTGCTCCCCTAAAAGATTAGGTGGATTAGGGATTAAGAATTTGAGAACTATGAACCTTGCCCTTCTTGGTAAATGGTGGTGGAAATTTTCTCCCCCCACCCCTTCATTTGGAAACTTGTCATACAAGCTAAGTATGGTTTGGGTAACGATGACTGGGAGCCTAGGTCCCGTCCTCACAGGTCCTCTCAAGGTTGGAAGTGCATCTCCTCTTGCAGATCTGGTTTCCTTGGTCGTACCAAACTCAGTCTAGAAAATGGTCTTAAAATAAAATTTTGGACCTACTGGTAACTGTCCCCTTAACCTGTCTGTCTCATCTATGTATCTCAGGCTGCCCCGGTAGCTAACTATGTAGAGCTCGGAGCATCAACTTTGGTTTGGAACCCAATGTTTAGGAAAAACCTCTCTAACCAGGATTCTCTCCTCTCTTCTCTACGCTTGAACCTATCTTTAGCTCTCTTACCATCCAAGATGCCCTAATCTGATCTTTCTGGATATCCTCTTTCTATGCCTCCCTTCCCTTCTTCCTAATCAGAACCTTGACCCTCTTATAAACAAAACATGGTTGCTCCCAACTCCCCTAAAAATTCAAGGTTCCTATGTGAGTGAGTGGAGCTTGCCAATCAAGGCCTCATGTGCCTTGAAACTGTCGAAAATCTTCCCACTTTCTTTGTATATATACTTTCATTACCAAAATTTGGTCCACTTTTCCCACTTTCTTTGGATGGTTTGTGGGAGCAGATATTTTCATTTCAAGATTTAGCTATTAAAGTGGGTGTGGATTGCATAAGGCCGAGGACCTAAACCATCAAAAGCAAGATTCGCCTTCAAGTTATGTCAAAACATATTGTTTCAATATTAAAAATCTTTGTGATAGTCTGAAAATTTATTTTCATCTCTAATTATAAAATTTAAAGCTTTAAAAATAGTGTACAGCGATCATATCCATG